TGGTGCTGTTCCTCGATGCCCGGGCAGAGGCAGAGCACTGGGAGGGTCGTGCAGGGCGCCCCCACGTTGCGGAGCATCCTGGGATGAGGATGTTCTGTAGTGCCAAGGGTTGCTGGAGCCTGCCCTGCAGAAACCACAGCCTGCAGAGAGGAAGGAAGAAGCTTCGGATGGGAAACCAGCCCCATGCTGTGTTTCTCCCCGCGTGGGCACCAACCCCGGGCAGCAGCACCCACGAGGTGGGTGGGCATCAGACCCCCTGGCCCCAGCCCGTGCTGCGCAGCACGGAGCGGGCTTGCAGCAGCGCTGCCTTTGCCATCGCCCTTCACCTCCTCCTCTGCCCCTGACCCCATCCTGCACCTAGAGGCTGGGGGGAGGCCCCACCAGGGGGGAAAAACAGGTCCCCCAGTGCGGTCCCCTCCCCGGCTCCGTGACCCCCGTTTCCTTCTTGCCTCATGAAATTTTCATGCTTGTGCTTTATTAATGAGCTCCCCAGAAACCCTGCGCTTTCCAGCATCTGCTCTATTAAAATGCATCCAGGTCCCTGCAGGTCTCGGGCAGGGCAGGAGCGATGCTCCGGATGCTCCGGAGGATTAGGCAATAAGCCGGCGCTTTGCACGGATCCCGCGCTTGTGCCGGAATGCCGCCGCGCTGGCTGTTCACCGCTCGCAGGGCTCGCTGCTGGGGCGCACCACCCACACCCCGGGGTGCAGAGGGTGCTCAGTGCATCCCCCCCAAAACTGGGAGCTGGTTTGGGCAAGGAGAAAGGAAAGCCAGGTGTCCCCCATCCTCTCCAAGTGTCTTTTTCTCCTTCTGGTCCTCCGACATCAGTGACATGAGCTGTCTCCATCCTCAGCCCCCGGCTGGAGAGACCCCATAGCACTGTCCGGGCTGGAGCAGGGGGTTCCTGCTGTGAAATGGCAATTTCTGCCCTGTCCCATCCTTGGGGAGGGTGCCAAGCCCCGAAGGACTTGTCTTCACCTCCTTTCTCCCTGGCTTTGCTCCGAAGAGGGCTCTGCGAGGAGCGGGGAGGAGGATTCCCCCCAGCACAGCGCTGGTTCACGCTCCGACCATCCGTCAGCTCGAATGTCTCTCTTAGCTCGGGCGACCTTCTTGCCTCTCCCGCTATTTTTCAAGGCAGATCTGCTTATAAATCACACAGCATAAGGAGTTTTCACTCCACGTGTGTCTTCTCGAACTCCCCCGTCCCCAGTATGTCTCCACGGGGGTGTTCATCACTGGGATGACACATTTGGCATTTCGAGGGCTCTCTCCGAACAGCTTTCCCTCCCCCAGCTCCAGTAAATTGGGGGGTCTCGTGGTGTCACAGCCCAGCTCAGGGTGCTGACTGCCCCATGGTTGACATGGCAGGGGTGGGGACCAGTGGCACCACCGGACCCCCCGGCAGCTGCCAGCATCTCCCCAGGGCAATGGGATGGGTCGGGTTTGCATGGGCTGGCACTGTGTGTGAGGGTCTTCCAGCTTCACCTTTTAATCAGGACTCGTTAGCGGTGGCGGTGCTGTCGTTGCAGCTCCCGGCTCACACCACGTTGGATAAGACCTTGGGAAAAGGAGACAAAGTCGGGTCTCGTGCTGCAAACGACACCCCGAAACGCTACACACCTGCAGGACGAGCCCCACGGGTGGCAGGGGGAGGCGGGGGACGATGCTAATTAGCAGGGCCCTACAAATGAGTCCGTTAGGAAACCTTGCCGGGCACTGCCGTTTGTCTTTGCCAGCGGAAGGCGGGAGCCAACGGAGGAACACACGGACTTGGCTGGGCTGGAGTGGGGGGGATTGGGGATGAGCTGGCAGGTGTGATCAGGTGGCTTCAAAAATAGCACCTGGGCTGAGGGGGCAATCTGTCATTTTGACAAAAAGAACAACAAAAAAAGAAAATTCAGCATTTGTTCCCGTGCGGTGGTTCGGCTTCATCCGCCCTCTCCCTGTTGATCTGCTGACGGTTGGGATTCCAGGCTGG